CAGGATGCTCAGACCTGTCTAAAACAATAACATGCTGCGTGATGATGCTGTTACTCTCCGGTATACTTATTCAGCAACGTCCCTGACGTTTCACAGGTAATGATTCAGTAATTTTCTGTAAAATAATTTTCTGGATATATACCTCGGTTACTTCTCTCCGGCTCCTTTGGAGATCTTCAAGCCTTTCTTCCTCTGCTCTCACCCCGCTGGCACCCCTCCCTCGCCTGGCCCTGGCTGCACGCCCACCCCGGCCTCTCTGCCCTCTTCCTCTCCCTCTTCCTCGCCTTGTAACCCCCGTGCAACAAACAAGACTTGGCCTCTGTAAACGGGGAATATATATTCTTCCAGCGAACACAAGTCTACATGAAATCTATACCCTACACAGACTAATGAAATACTATCTGTAAAATTATCTATGTAAACAAACCTCATCACTTGAGAAGGTAGGTGATTCCGACGTCGTGGAAGACATTTTGTCCCGTAACGCTCGCCGTACTGTTGGGGGGGAGAAGCGGTGGGGGGAGAGACGTTCATGTTGCTGCAGTCTGCAGTCTGGACGTTAGATGTCGCTGAAAATTACACACTGCAGCTTTAATATCTAACTTTCAGTTCCTAAAATAGTTTTTTTTTTTTTTTTTTTAAGCGTTTTTACCTAAAACAGGGAGGGAAAATGGGCTACCTCTGCACCGTCGCTATGGCAGAAAGCACTATGGAACAGATTTTTCTCTATACATTTAATTTTGAAAGCTAGGGAAAATATCGCGATATACAGTGTTATAATGTCATTTATCACAATATCATGATAATATCGTATTCTGACTTTCATGTTTGAAGCAAGATCTTTGATGCATGTGCAGAGAACACACAAGAAGAAGGAGGATTTCAAATCAAACGGTTTATTTTCCCTTTAAAACTGAGCAAAACAGGGAAGGAATGAATGTTGTTATTGTTGTTATGGGGGAGCCTCTGGGGCTGGATCATCCTCAAATGGATTCGGGGGTTGTTCCTGCCAGAGAGGTCTGAGGTTGGGAGGCTGGAGGTCCAGTAGGTCTTTCCAGGTAGTTGGCAGAGAGAGAGAGAAGCGGTACTTTGCTGGATAAGGGAGATTTTTCCAGGAGTGTCTTTTGGCTGAAGTTTTGTTTGGATTTGGTTCAGGAAGTGAATTCCTCAGACGAATCTTCTCTCAAAAACACGGGAGGTACCCTGCAAAAAAACACAAGTAAACAGGCTCAGGTTGAAAGAATCTCATAAGATCTTTTTAGCTCGGAGGGGGGCTTTGAGAACCAGTAGTGATTAAACACTCAAGCGCTGGAGATCCGGCTGACTGCTCCTCCTATGCTGGAGAAGATGAGGTTGATTGCACGCAGGTGCGCAGAAACTGCCCTCCAAACAGACCAAAGCCTAATGGCTCCACCTAGAGGGAAAAGCAGATCCAGCACCCAACACTGACCCAAGTATATTGACATGCATCCTATTGCAACATCCATGCCAACATTCACCCCTAGTTAGGACTGTATGCAGTAAGAAAAGTTCATCCCAGTCACTGCTGTAAAAATAATAACCATGTAGATCAGGCATCCCCAAAGTTGGTGCTCGAGGACCGCTGTCCTGCAGAGTTTAGAGGTTTCCCTGCTCCAGCACAGCTGATTAACATTGATAGTTGATTAACTGGCTTTTGCTCAACTACAATCATTAAAATCAGTTGTGCTAAAGCAGGGAAACCTCTAAAACCTGCTGGACAGCAGCCCTCCAAGACCCGACTTTGGGGATGTCTGATGTAGATGTTAATTCAGCTTGTGGTAGTTTAAAGCCCTCATCTACCCTCAGGGAGCTAAAATGTGGTTCACAAATACTGTTCCAGGTTTTATTTTACAGCTACTACAAAACCAACATCTCAGCACTGCAGCTGCAAGCAATAAAACAAGTTAAAGTTAGAATTTAGTTGTAAATGCCACAGTGACAAAATAGCGCGGTGCTGTTGATGCTGTGCAGAACCGTCTGAGGTCCCAACATGGCTCAAGATCTCTGGATTTAGAAAGTTCTTTTATCTTTAACTGCTTTATTTATACAGTAGAATGGAAATAAAGAACCCCACCATCAACAACATATTCCAGACAATCTAACTTTTATGGCTTGGTCACAATGAATGATGTCCACTTTAAATTACAATAAAAAGGCCACAGTAACAAACGTTTAAAAACTCTTTTGCGTCTGTATGTCTTTGTTGTGCTTTGCCTCTCTCTCCACCCCTCTGTGGCTCACATGGTCTTTGAAGTCCTTTATACTGTATTTTACCCATCTATGAGGATCTATATCAAATCAGGCCTTTAAACATTGTCTGTCCTCAGATAGCTCAGATGGGCTCTGTCATCAGCCTCTTGACTGTAGAAGCTGTGAGTGAAATTAACCTTGAATACTACCTGAGCTCATTAATGTAGAGGAAACAGTAGAAAACTGAGAAACTTTGGACCAAAATCAGGAAAAGAAAGAGACAAAAGATCCAACGGCTTTCTGGTTCAAGCTGTGTTTCTGTTTTCACAGGCTTCAGGGAGGCAGGTTTGTTCTCTTTCTTCATATACCTTCATGTCAGGTCTAAGCATCTAAAACATCATACATACAGGGAAAGAAAGAAGGCACAGAGACAATTAATTTAGTTTTACTCGCGAGGAGAGTAGGAAGAGACTGCGGAGTTTACAAATCTCTAACCCACTCTGCCGGTCTTCAGCTTTCTCCTAGCTATTTATTAAAGTCAGAGGGGGGGGTCCCTAGTTACACAAGCTGAGTTTGCGCTAAAGGAATAGGAAACAAGAAATACAATTCAATTTGCAGCCTCAGTTAACAGGTAAATTTGCATTTAAATGTCTTGCGGTCAAATGGTCCGAGAACCTCCTGGTTTCGTTAAGCTTGAGCAATACTTCCTGATAGTTGACCTACAGTATACTGCTTGTGCAACACCTCTCTGGAACAGTAATATGTCACACATTATACATCATAAAAAATATTAAGTATCCTATACATAATTATTCCAACACTTCACAATCACACCTTTTATAAATATGTAATATTAAATAATTTTTTATGAAGTCAATTTTGAAGAATTCGAAGGCACAAAAGTTCTTTAATGATCGACTAATGAAACATCTGTAAAATATGAAAGTCTGGCTAGGCATGAGAAAAATAAGTCATATTTTCATCTGGAGATGAAGCTTCAAGGTTCATCAAAGAAAAGAAGAGACAATGAAAAATATCAGAGATGTTAACTTTCTAATTAAAGCTGAATTTTATAAGGATGAGTTGGAGAGATGTAAACTAAACTAAACCAACAATATCTTCTGATGAATAAAGGCAAACATCGTAGCTCTGCACACAAAGTACTTTGTAAATCCCTTTGGATAAAAGCGTCTGCTAAATACATAAACATAAAAATAGGTCAAACATGTCCTCATGTCTCTGTCATTAGTTACAAAGCTATATAACATGGTGATTTACTGGTTTTTATAGGACGCCTTCTGTTTCCTGAATATTTTCTACTGGTTACCAATTGGGTTTCATGGCAGCTGCTGTCTGTCCCACTCGTTGTCCTCCTGGTTGGACACAGTTTGGCTCTGGATGCTTTCTTTACTACCAGTCCAGGACCTGGAATGATGCAGAGGTACTGAACACATTCCCAACCGCACTGAACAATAGCGATTGCTTTAGTCTTTATTGAAGGAGAGAAGCTGTTTGGATGACTTACAATCAGTGGCCAATAGAGGGCGCTAGCGTGCTGCCCCACCCATTCAATGACCCTAATTAAGACATAAAAGAAAAAATCTTTTTCATATAAAAGTGTTAAGTATTTCTAAATAAATCAATATATATTTTTTAGATGTGCAGGATCAATATTTAATCTTTAATGATTAGTAAAGCGTCATTTCATTTTTCTTCAGATTGGTGACATATTTCCGTTCTTGTTCAATTGCATTTCGAGAGCGAGATCCTCTGTGGTAGTAGCACTAGACATCTTCCAGGCATGTGAGTAAAACTAGCAGCAATTTAGCGGACAGGAAGAATGAACGTTAGCCAGCATGCGCGGATGACACGGTGTTCCCCTTTAAGGCTTGGCTAACTGCATGCAGCGAGGCTATGGCTTTATCCTGCTTTCTTTCCTCCTTTTTTAAATGTCAGGATCTGATCCAGCATGGATAAAGACAGCTAGGACTGATTTAAAGCACTTTGTAGAAAAGGCAAAGAATAACAAACAATCTGGGATTCACATGGAAAATAATAGAATATATATTATACTTTTTCTAGATGTTTGTTATTTTGCATAGTTGCTCTTAAATAAACGCATTCTCAGAAAATAAGTAGTTTATATATATTAAAAAATATATAGTTAAACTGGTACATTGATTTTTTAGGTTTGTGACCAAATATTGGAGCATACAGAACACGGATTTACCTTCACAGCCTCAGAAGAGCAAGATCTATGTACAAAAAATAAATCTGGATATTTAATTATTTTTTGTCTTTTCTAAAGTGTTTTTATACTGTTATGATTCTATTTGTTAATATGTTGTATAGTGCTATTTACAGAGTCAAAGAAAGAAAAGAAGAAATGTGGCCCCTCTACTCAGTGTAGCGAACTGAAGGAAACGGTTTTAATGGTTTTGAATAACCATAAAAAGTTCCCTTTTACTCATTTAGATGTTTTCTCCAATTACCTTAACAAGAAATGTTTCCTGATCCATTATTTTACTCTAATTAAATACAAAGAAACACATCAGATACCCTGATGCTGTTATGTTGGTCATGAGTTCAGGGACCAAACATTGAGTAATCCAGTTTCAGGTCTATTGATTAATTAAACAGGCTAATTATCACCTGTATAACAGCTTTCCATCTACGCAACTCTGCTTCATGCCACAAAGCAAAGATATCAGAAGTGTGAAAAACACTGTGATGAGACATAACATCAAGCCTAAGGCTTAAACACATAGGAGACTGACCTCTAGTGGTCAGAGGAGGAACTCCATCCTTCAGATAAGTTCCTGGTTTATCAGTGAAGCAGGAAGAGAAGCAGAGTTAGAAACCATCAGCAGCTCAGGATGAAGGTCTGTTATACTTTGATCTGCATCCTCTTCCTCAGTGAGTACATTATTTTAGCTCTATATATTTTTTCTGCTCTCATCCTTCATCCTTTCAGCTCGTTTACTTTGTATCAGTGAGTTTTTCTACATTGTTCAAACGTCTGAAGTCAGATCTATATCAGTATATCTTGTTCTGTATCTGCTTCCTGTTGGTCTCTCTGGTAAAATCAGTTTAAAAATAAAGTCAGTTGTTAAAATGCAAACTTAAATTCTAATAAATTACAGTTACGTCTTGTAGAGGTTGATATATGTTGCTTTGGAGAATTTAAAGTTTAGTATGAGTTTAAGATTATTAAAATAAACATAAAAAGCAGCCTTTTTATTTTACAAATAGCTAAAACGTCATCGCAGACGCAGAGATATGATCTGTAGAACAGGGTTGTGTTTTACAAAAATAGAGAATAAAAATAAATCCTGTTAACGTTTTACGTTTATATGTGCTCCTCAGTTGGAGATTTAACCAGGTGGAGAGAAAGAAATCAGAAAGTTGTTGAGATAAAAAGATGATTAGAGAATTCACTAGAATCTGTTAGAAATGTTGGAATCAATGCACATTTATTCTCACACCTTCAGTTAAATTTATTCAACTATTTTCTCTTCAAGCTGCTGAATCTGACAGTTATTACTGACTGTTTATCTCCTCAGCAGCTCTGCAGGATGGAGACGCTGGAGGAACTTATAGAGGAATGGAAGGAACCAACATCACAGTTGGATGTAAATTTAATAATGTTGGCATTAGTAGGTTCTTCTGTAAGGAAAACTGTAAAGGAGAAAATAATATGATTGATACAATAGAAAACAGACATCAGAGAGGAAGATACAGCATTCAGTATGAAGGAACTGGTTATTTCTCCTCTGTTCTGTCTGTGAGCATCACATACCTAAAACCATCAGACTCTGGACAGTACTGGTGTGGCCTGGGTGACGTTTGGATTCATGGTCTTTATGATGGTTTTAATCTGATTGTGACAGAAGGTGAGTTTCCTCCTGAAAATGTTCCTTCTTGTCTCTGAAAGAAAACTCTGCTCACTGACAGCTTCTTCTGATCCAAATGACCTCAGACAGGAAACTGGCTTTAAATAGTAGCTCAGATGTTTTGAACTGATCTAAATCCTCCAACATGTTCAAACTGGGACTCATGCAGACAAACATCTTCATTGGTATCATGATGATGAAATATTATTGTCAGCTTTAAACTCATTTGTTCTGATTCTGTTTCATTTCTCACAGCTTCAACCGCCTCAGAACCAAACCGGACTCTGGAAACTTTTACATCATCATCATCAGTTTCAACAGAAACCTTCACTTCCTCCTCATCTAATTCTTCATCTGAAAACACCCAGCAGAGCAGAACATTAGCCGGACATAAAGGCAAAGTATCAGTTCAATGTGTTTATATTTTAACATTTCTGTATGTTAATGAAGCTATTAGTGACCCCAACATTCAAATTGTGTAAGGTATCATATTTGCAGACATCAGCTTTTTGATGGTTCTGAAAACTCTAACTGGGTTTTATATACAGTAAGGGGTTCTGTGACTCAGAAGCAGAACATAGAGGGAAAGCTGAGTTTATCCATATTCATGTAAATTATCCACATGGTTGGAGAGTCTTTTGGTGTGTTTTAGGCTAACAGCGAGAGCTGGGGTCCGTTCCACAAAGCAGGTTTAACAAACTCAGATAAAAATCCTCTACTCTAAATTGATCTAGCCTAAGGTTGGGATTTCTGAGTTTTTCTTTTCACAACAGCTGCTATTAATTATTTCAATCGTCTCTAAGTAGAGTTAACCTTTTGGGGAAAAGTTTGAAAAGCCATCATTAATGGAGCCCGGATTCTTAGGCATCCGCCCGGGAACCCTGGAACCCTTAGCCTGCCCATCTTTACCGAACCTCCTGTAACTGGGTCAACGGTCAAATGGCCGCTTTTCAGTCTATTTATCCGCAGATGATTTAATTCTAGTCAATAAACAGCGAACCAGTTACTATTCTGCTGGAAGCCAACCTGGGAGAATAGGGAGATCTCTCTGAAGACCTCGTCACCTCTGACCTAAGAATCAGAACATCTTATGGTATATATAAGAAATGTGTTTTATTTATCTAGAAAGGAACCAGACAAAGAGCAGCCTAAAGACCTCTTATGATGACCAAGACAAATGGACCTAGTGTTCTGGAGCCAGGCCTGGAGGTGGGGCATGCTGGCAAGCGCCTGGTGGCGAGCTTTTACCCATGGATCTCGAAGAGGAAACATGGGTCCCCCTTCCAATGGGTTTACCACCTGTAGGAGGGGCCAAAGGGTTGGGTGCAATGTGTGATGGGTGGCAGTCCAGGGCGGGGGCCTTGGCATTCGGATCCTCTGCTGAAGAAGCTCACTCTTAGGACATGGAATGTCACCACTCTGGTGGGGAAGAAGCCTGAGTTAGTGCGCGAGGTTGAAAGATTCCGGCTAGAGATAGTTGGACTTACCGCGATGCATGGCTCTGGCTCCTGAACCACTCTCCTTGAGAGGGGCTGGACATTCTTCCACTCTGGAGTTGCCTGAGGTGAGAGGCGCCGACTTGGAGTGGGCATACATGTTGCCCCTCATCCTGGTGCCTGTACGTTGGCGTTCACCCCGGTGAACAAGGGTGAACCGCATATGTGTAGGGGGATGGGTTCTGACTGTTGTTTGTACTTATGCACAGAACAGCAGTTCATGGGGGGTACTAGAGAGTGTGCCTCCTGGGGACTCCCTTGTTCTTCTGGAGGACTTCAAGGCTCACGTGGGCAAGGACAGTGAGACCTTGGCAGCCGTGGTTGGAAGGAATGGTCTCTGCCTGACCTGAATTCTAGTGGTGTTCTGTTGTTGGACTTCTGTGCTTGTCATGGACTAATCATAATGAACACCATGTTCAAGCATAAGGGTGTCCATATGTGTTCTTGGCACCAGGACACCCTAGGCTGTAGAGGATAATGATCAAATTTGTTGTTGTGTCATCTGACCTGGGGCCATTTGTCTTAGACACTTGGGTGAAGAGAGGGGCGGAGCTCTCCACCGACCACTACCTGGTGGTGAGTTGGCTCCGATGGTGGGGGAGGACCCCGGTCAGACCTGGTAGGCCCAAACGTATTGTGAGGGTTTGCTGGGAAAGTCTGGCAGAGTCCTCCGTGAGAAGGAGCTTTAACTCCCATCCCCGGCAGAGCTTTGAACATGTTCCAAGGGAGGAGGGGGACATTGAGTATCAGTTGACCATGGTCCGTGCCTCCATTGTTGAGGCGGCTATTCAGAGCTGTGGCTGCAAGGTTGTCGGTGCATGTCGCGGTGGCAACCCTTAAACACGCTGGTGGACACCACCGGTGAGGTAAGCTGTCAAGCTGAAAAAGGAGTCCTATCGGGCTTTATTGACGTGTGGGACTCCAGAAGCAGCTGATAATTACCGGCAGTCAAAGCGGCATGTGGCTCGGCTGGTCGCTGAGGCAAAAACGCAGGCGTGGGAAGAGCTTGGAGAGGCCATGGGGAAAGACTTCCGTACGGCTTCAAAGCAATTCTGGTCCACAATCCGGCGTCTCAGGAGGGGGAGGCAGTGCAGTACAAACACTATTTATAGTGGGGGTGGTGTGCTGCTGACCTCGACTCTGGACTGCGTATGTCGGTGGGCGGAGTACTTCGAAAACTCCTTAAACCCACCAACACGTCTTCCATCGAGGAAGCAGAGCCTGGGGGCTCCGGGTCGGGTTCTCCCATCTCTGGTGCTGACTTCACTGAGGTGGTTAAAAAGCTCCAAGGCCCCAGGGGTGGATGAGATCCGCCCTGAGTACCTTCAGGCTCTGGATGTTGTGGGGCTGTGTTGATAAATGTGACTCTGCAATATTGTGTGGACATCAGGGGCAGTTCCCCTGGTTTGGCAGACTGGGGTGGTGGTCCCTCTATTTAAAAAAGGGGACCGGAGGGTGTGTTCCAACTACAGAGGAATCCCACTCTTAAGCCCCCCTGGTAAGTTCTATTCCGGGGTTCTGGAAAGGAGGGTCAGTCGGATAGTCGAATTTAAGATTATCATTAAAATAAAGACAGAAACGTTCTGTGTTTTTGTTTCGCTTACCTAAGAACCCAGCTTCTATGACCTAATGGTGCTGATGGTGGGTTTCTTTTATGTTTGTATTGCACACTCTAACAATGGAGACTTAGATGCATGCATTGGTTGTAAAACAGTCCTTAATTTTCCGAAAATACAAATAGCAGGTATGTGTAAAAGTGGCTGCGATGAAATACTGTACTGCATATGTTTTATACTAACTTAGCTGCAGTTCCAATTAAAATAATGGAATTCCTTTAGGAAAGCAAAAGCATACATTCTGCCCAATGGAGCTATACAACCTATAATCACAACCATAAAATGTCTGTTCATAATGTTAACCACTTCAACTTACCTAGAAATACAAATAACAGGCACATGTAAACCTGCTGTGTTTCACACAGGTGTCTGTGATGGTCTACTGCACTGCAAATGGACCCAACTCTGAAACTGCTCTTAGTGCCTGTTTGCGCTGGTCTTTACTTAAAGCTCAGTACTGCTCACCAAAATATTAATGATCAAATGTGCATTTTACAGCAGAGTACAACCTAACATGAACAATTGGCCAAACGGAAATAAGTTGTGATATTTTACCAGTAGATTATGAATAAATGATTAACTAGAACTGGAAGTTGTTGTTAATTAATAGATCATTCAAAATCAAAGGGTAAAACCAATTGAATGTCATTGGTTGAATGTTTTTACAAAACAGGCCTGTGAGCTTTGAATTAATCAGTAAATCTTTTAACATCTCTGCAGGTCCGCTGCTTATTGTGGGTCTGAGTTTTTCCATCCTGAGCATCATATTAGCAACGGCTCTGCTGATTTTCTTCAGGAAGAGGATCTTTGGTCAGCGGAAAGGTGAGTTACAGAATCTGCTTTGCTTCCATCACTAATAGAAAACAAACAGGATTCTAGTTTTCACATATCCATCAGTAGTTAAAGGACGAGGTTCAGCAAATGCAAATTCTGCCTGTAAATCAATGACAGCACCATTGTCACTGAATGAGCTGAAGCCTCATTTGGAACTTTTAAACAGGCTTTTAAAAAAATAGTTGATAATTTGCTGCTGTAATATTATAGTTTTTTAGAATAAAAAGCTGGAGGATATGCATGATCAAAAAATAACAGAAATACAATTATAGAGCATTCAGTACTTTCAGAAAGCCCACGCTGTTTCTGAACAAATACATTATTGTATGAGTTAAGTTCTGTTCCGTTTATGTCTCTTTCCTTGTATGTATAAAGTCCCACGCTCCTGAATGCACCATAGCTATCCGACGCTCGTGAATGCATCACCGGTCTGTGAACGCAGTGCTGTGTAGAAGCGCGTTTGATTTTCTGCTAAAGCTTTGCAGTTTCCAAACTCACGTCGGCTTTCACTGTTTATTGTTTTGTGTGAATAACAAGAGACTACTACAAATAAATCAGCCGTACCTCGGACAAATTATTTGGATTTAATATTGTTCATAACACCCGTACTTTTTTAAAATGAATCTACCAAATAGTAAAGAGTAGCGTGTAAGGTTTGTTTTAAAAATGTAAGGAATAGAAAGTACAGATACTTGTGTGAAAATGTAATGAGTAGAAGTCAGAAGTAGGAGGAAAAACAAGTAATGGAGTAAAGTATAGATACCTAAAAAGTGTACGTAAGTACAGTAACGAAGTATTTGTACTTCGTTACTTGACACCTCTGCAAATATCGATAGAGTTAAAGGTAACTTTGTTTCAGGCTTTGTCTTCAAAAGACAGAACTAAGAACTTTTATTTTAGCAGCATAGTTAAAGTTCTGGTAAAATAAATTATAATTATAAGGCTTCCAAACATATAAAGAATATGAGCAAGCTCAGAAAGCAAAGACTCTACCATGTTATTTTGTCAAACACCATAAAATTCTGATTTTTATTTCTCAGAATGGGAGAATTCTCAACTTTGAAGGGAATCTTGGGCAGGTTTTTGTTCCAAAGTAATATAGTAAGCACTTAATCCGGGACAGGGACACAGGGGCAGCAGTTTCAGATGAGACAACCAGATTTCCCTCTCCCCTTCTCAAATAATTTTACTCCTTCCTATGACTATTTGGTATAACTTGGATCAATTAGAATTTCTCCTCTCTTTGTTTTAATTTTTTTGAAAAAAAAGATGTATCCAATAAAGTTTAATATCTGGTGAAAAACAGTAAATGTCAAACGATCCTTTTCCTTTGACTAATGAGCTTAAAACACTGATTTATTTTCTTTTATGTCTCTTATTTTTCTATACACATGAAATTGATTTAAAGTCAGAATGTAATACTTTTCTGGCCTCTAGTGATCAAAAAGCATATTACGCTTCCTTCTGCTTTTCTTCATAGCAGTTCATCAGAGTTGTTAGAAAAAGAGTAAGATAGAAATAGTTAATAGTGGAGTTATAATATTAGGTGAGACCAGGCTCAAAAACTTTAAAATACCTCGCATATTCAGCTAAATAACCAACATTAAATAGAAATTGCGTTTGTTTTTAAAAAGTGGGCGTTGACCTTTCTTTGTAACGTTCGTTCTACGGGTGGGCGTGCATGGAACGTTCCCGACGATGACGTCACATTTCGTCTATATATTGAGCTTTGCGCCGGGCACCTGAACCAGTTCGTTCCAGGCGTTGGAAGAGGTGGACGCGTTTGTAGGTTTCTTAGCGAAAGTAGGTATTTTGAAAGTCTGATTTTAGATACACCCAAAACTCTTACATAATTATTTGTAGAGAAACATATCCTGGTCTTTAAACAGCTAGAAAAGGATACAAAAGAAAACATTTTGTCAAGAAACAAGAGGATTTTAAAAGATGGCTAAATTTCTTTTTAAGCTCAAAAAACACCAATCTGCCTCTAATCTTACGGAGTTATATGAAGAAATACCCTCAACCTCTCAAAGTTTTCAGAAAATGTATAAAACAGGCAGAGAGCAGGGTGTTGCAGATAATGCTCTGGGGGTTCAGTCTAATCCAGTCGTCATGCCCAACCCAGAAACATCAAGTTTGTTTCATGAAATAAACCAACTTCTTAAGGAAAATCAAAGCCTTAGATCAAAGCTGGACGCAAGTATCATTCTTCTTCGGCAGGAGAGGGAAAAGAGAATATTGGCCGAGAGAGAAAGTGGAAAATATGATCCCGACATGCAAGACCAACAACAGACTGCAGCAGAACAATGGAAGGTGCTGGACTGTCTTACAAAGGAGAATGAGAAACTGATTCTCAGGCAGATAGAGGACAAAGTCAAAATAAGAAATCTCTGTATGCAGCTAAAATCTGCAAGATCTGTCATTCAACAACTGTCAGGGGTCTTAGAAACAGAAAAACAGAAACTCGCAGCAGCTGAAGAAAAAATAAATGATTGTTTGGGACAGCTTGGTTCTTCTTGTGAAGACTGTGATTCTGAAACTGACAATGAAGCCACAGCTTCTCAGTCTGTGATTGTCAAAGAGGAATCTGTTTTAAAACCAGAGATCGTAGCAGCATCTGAGAACTCTCAAGGTGGAATGGGTATGAAATCATCAGAAACAGGTGAAACAAATGATTGTGTATCCACGGAGTACTACGCTCAAAATCCGCTCGCTTTTTTGTTCTTCGGTCGCTCTAATGTTATCAAAGAGAGCCCAGATCATGATTCACAGATGGTGAAAGAAAACCCAGATTGTGATTCACAGTTTGTCAAACAAGAGGACTCAGACTGTGAAGATGAGGTGTTTGAAGATACCATAGATGGTGATGCCCAGATCGTTGACAATGAAAACCCCAATTGTGATTCTGAGGTATTTGAAGACGCCATAGATGGTGATGCACAGTTCCCTGAAAAAGAGGACTCGGACAGTGAAGACGAGGTGTTTGAAGATACCATAAATTGTGATGCACAATTTACCGAAAAAGAGGACTCAGACTGTGAAGATGAGGAGTTTGAAGATATCATAAATTGTGATGCACAGTCCGTCGAAAAAGAGAACCCAGATCTTGATTCACAGAAGGTGAAAGAAAATCCGGATTGTGATGCCCAGATCGTTGACAATGAAAACCCCAATTGTGATTCTGAGGTATTTGAAGACGCCATAGATGGTGATGCACAGTTCCCTGAAAAAGAGGACTCAGACAGTGAAGACGAGGTGTTTGAAGATGCCATAGATTATAGCCTCATCAGAGAACTTTGTCAGTCTGAGAATTTCCAAGAGGCCAATGATCTTCCAATGATCCTGATAGCACCAGAAAGTCCTGATTCAGAGATCATCACAGAGGAGCCTGTTTCAGAAATAGCAGAAACCAGTTCAGCCAAAATTCACGCCTCAACACGGAAATCTGTTAAAAGTTTCCTACTCTTGAATATTTTCCACAACAAAAAGAAACCAAGCAGAAAGAGTAAAAACATCTCCACTCCAGTTTTTTCAGCTGTTGGAAAACAATAGCTAAATTACAGGACGAGCCATAGATAATCAATAAAAAGAGCACTTTAAGTTTTCTTTTAACAAACTTAAAATGTAAAAAAAAATAATAATATAAGGATTTTCTATTGTATTCTTTTCTATTCCTTTTTATTCTACTCTCTTCTGTTCTATTCTATAATATTAGTTTCTATACTTTTTTTTATTCTTTTCAATAATTATTTTTTCTAGTAGTTCATCTTATTACAAGGTTTTCTCCTGGAACTCAGGGTTTTCCTTAAAAAAAAAAACATTTAAAAACATTTTGAATCTTTCTTTTTAAACTTAACAAGTTATCAGAATTAGCTACAAACAGGCTTCAAGTCAAACAAAACCTAGAACATTCTCTGTTTCATTCATTATATCAGCGCAAACCTGAAGTATCATCACTAGTAATTTTATAACAAAGTACATCTAGATAGATATTTTCTCGGGTGCTGCCATCTTGGAATTCAAATCATGTGCTGTCACTAAAATCCGGATATGGAAATTTCGGTATTATGACATATCAACTGCACCAGATTGTTTACATAGTTACATAACTGAAATATCACAACAAATCAACAGACATAATATGTCAACATCAAAATGCAACTGCATTGGTGTCCACCAGAGAGACTCATGATATGTTATTGTCACCATGTGTTTTTTCTGTTTGTTTTGGAGATCTAATGTTTTAAATTATTGACCCACCTCAACCAAAACACCACATGTGGTTTACAGAAAAATAAGCAAGATAAATAGCAAATCATTTAAATACATAATAATTTGGATAGAAATAAACAGCTGGATTCTGTAGGGCATTGTGAAAACAAGCATATACATAGCTAGAGCATATCGCAATTCTGGGACCAGCCTCGGCATTCAGAGAAAGGTTCAACTTTCCATTTCATTATATTGTCCATCCTAATTATATATTGCAAAAAATTTTCACCTGCCATGTTACTTAGTCTATAAGGGCCACTGAATTTCAATGTACACACATTTGTTACTTAAGTAGAAGTATAGATACTGCAGTTTGAAAACACTCTGGTAAAAGTTGAAGTATTAACTCTTTACTCAAGTAAAAGTGAAAAGTATGTGCTCAAAAACTACTTAAAATATAAAAGTATAAAGTAACCTTTAAAAAAAACAGCCAGATGCCACTATATGAATTGAAAGCTACATTTTTCAACAATTTGGAAAAATTCTTTGAGATAGGGCCAAGGATGAGGGAGGTCTTGTTAGGCTCCGTCTCCATCTCCGGATACACTCTTGCCTGTGTCCGACCTTTCAAGATTTTTTTCTGAATCCGACATTGTAGCATGGCATAGACAATTCACGTTTGCAGTTTGAAGAACAGCTGCTTGCTTCTGATGATTTCCTTTGACGAATAGCTAACCAATGAGTGTTTGTGTTATATGACTCATCCAATTACACTAGTTTTCATTAGATGTGGATGACGCCATTGATCTGCATTGGATGGCACACATGATGTGAAATAAATGTTTATAATCATTAAACCAGCGGTAACCAATTAAAAATCAGCGGGGTCCGAATAAAGAAAATCATGAACCAGTAAAGGTCCGGAGACATTTTTAATGATCTGTTACTTTAAACAGAACTTAACACTAAAATAAAATGAGGTATTTATGCATTCATGTAATACACTGAATTTTTAAATAAAAAAAGGAGAGGAGTTGAGGAGTTGATACTTGTATGACTGTATTGCTGTATGATTCACCAAGAGACTGTTACTAAAAGGCTGGCATATAAACCATGATAATAATTGTGGACATTGAGGACCAATAAGGACCAATTTATTTGTATATTCTGATACTTGCAGTATCAGAATATACAACTGAATATTTTTTTTAGTTCATTTGGGTATTTATAAATGTCGTAGTTCATAAAAAAATGTTTCATTGCAGTAATAATGATCACTTTCCTTGAAATTACATCCATTCTGTTTTTTAACCCTTTGGAGTTCAGCTTTTGGTATTTTGCTCAAAAAAAGACAAAAACTTATTTTGTAGGTGTCCTAAAAATATGTTTATTTATCTGCCATGAACAGGTTAAAATATAAATCAGAACCAATTTTCCTACTTTTTCAGTTCCTCCAGTTAAAACAAGCAATGGTGATCTAACAATGGTAAGTCTAAGTCACTTTAAACTAGCACAGGCATCATGGGATTTTTGTGTTTTCTAACCATCTTTTGATAATTTTCCTCACAAAATGCAATATAAACTGTAAAAGGTTCAAATTTCATGTCCAGTTTCCTGAACTGAACTTTTCAAGCTTGAAAACTGTTCAATTTCTCTGGTATATTCAAGCACAAACCTTAATTTAATTACAGCTAGAAAACATTTATGTTTTGAAAATCTAATTGATTCAAACCCTTCAGTAAATAATCAGTTATTTCTCCTTGAAGGATGATTTAAAAATGTAAATGTACAAACTACAAGTTTTCTCCTTGTCTTCTTGCAGGTTGAAGCTGATGAAGTAGAGTACTCTGAGCTGCATTTGGTTTCTCTCAACAGCGCCCCCTGTTGTCATGCAGATGATGTAATCTACTCTAAACCTAGAGCTAATAGATCTGCCAACGACAACAATGATTCGCCTGCTATTTAGTCCCCTTGATTTGCAGAGCTAGTTTTACAGCAGCTCTGCTGCTCCTGGTCATCAGATAAAATCCTAATCATAAACATGGACAAAAAGATTTGTCATAAATAAAGAATAAAGATATGTATTTGAAATTAAAAAAGGCCAAAAATAATATTAAGTTAATTGAAACAGAATTTACGATTGTGGAGATAATTTGCTCCCCAAAGTGTCACTACATGACCCTGGCCTTGTTATTGAGGGCAGCTGCAAATAGAATTTTTGCAATGGAAGTTTTTGGTCCTGATGGGCCGCAGCCTCCTGCCAGAGGGGAGAGTTTGTGTCCGGGGTGGAAGGTGTCGCCTGCAATCTTTCCTGCTGGCCTCACAGTCCTGGAGGTGAACAGTTCCTGAAGAGAAGAAAGGTTGCATCCAATTATCCTCTCTGCAGAGCAAATTAGACGCTGCAGCTTGCTCTTTTCCCTGGTGCTGGCATCAGGAGGGACTCAATGATGGCAGAGTAAGAGGTGCAACATCATTTCCTTTGGTAGGTTGAACTTCTTCAGCTGCCACAGGAAGTACATCATCTCCTGGGATTTTTGGGTGAAGATGGTGATGTCCAGCTCTCACTTGAGGTTCCGAGCAACAATGAAGCCCAGGAGGCAGGAGAGCCTATGGAAATCAGCTAGCATAACTTGAGCATTTTCAGTGCAAACTCTACAATGTTTGTGTAAAAGCTTCATTTTAATTGCATTGTTTTTAACTTTTGAATTTTACTTTACACGGATGTCTTTATGTTATTGCTGTTGCTGCTTTATGTTCAGTCTCCTGTTTTTTACTATTATTAGATATTTATCACAAATTTTTATTTGCAATAAAGATTTCATATTGCAATGCAAAGATTTGGCATTACTTTTGAAACGGTATTGTTTGTATCCAATGGTGACAGAAATCTTCTTTGACAGCACTGCAATAAAAGCATTCAAACAATTAAAGAGGGGTAAAGACTTTATAATGCATACATAATAAAATATTAATAAATATTCAATATCTAGCCAGACTAATGTTACGCTAAAGACTATACTATTGGATCCATTAGAGTATAGATGGATTTTTGGTTTAGTTCATCCACTAACTGGGAAATTACCAGTGGAACGTCTTCCTGCAGAGACAACTGCTGGTTTCTGCAGCCAAATGCTGCACAGGGAGGCATTTTAAGGCACATTTCCGTGGGAGTGGGGAGTAACAATATGGCAGCCGGCTGCTTCACTGTTCTCAGGCAATCAGCAATCCAGTGAAAAAATAGAGATCAGAGGAATAAACCCATGCATCAGTCAGACATATTTATATAGATTTTTCTTTTTGTTTTGGAGCTCCTAAGTTACATTTTCATATATATGGTTTTTAAAATATTTCAATTCCTCTTTATCGTTAAAAAAATCTGAAAGATGAAGAGCAGGAAGTTGCCTTTTAATAATTTATCTGTGACATCATTGTGGTCGTTAGAGGAAGGCTGTTCATTACTCCTCTAATAAACTGTTTTTTAAAGGTCAGTCTGATGTTCTCTGTGTCGATAGAACAGCTGATTCTATTAATCAGCAGATTTAAGCTCCTGATGAAAACATCAGCATCTATTTAAATGATAAATCTGCACAGCAGAACTTTTTATTAAAGCTCATCTGTTGCTTGAAGAAATCGAGTCTGTTGCCAAAGCAGGAGGAGCCTGACCTCTAGTGGTCAGAGGAGGAACTCCATCCTTCAGAGAAGTTTCTGGTTTATCAGTGAAGCAGGAAGAGAAGCAGAGTTAGAAACCATCAGCATCTCAGGATGAAGGTCTGTTATACTTTGATCTGCATCCTCTTCCTCAGTGAGTACATTATTTTATTTCTCTTCTCAGTTCTTCATCCTTTCAGTTCCTTCAGTTCATCAGTGAGTTTTCCTACCGTGTTAAAGGTTGAATCTAATCCAGTATTTTTGAGTGCAAAATAATGTTGGTGATTAATTAAAAAAATTTAATATCTTTATTCTAAGGTTTAATATTCTATTTTAGGCTTTTCCAATAATTTTTCACTTTGTAAACCAGTAAATGAAAAGTATTATAAATGTCTTCATTCGATTGCCTTCATTTTAGTTCCTCTGTTCTAAAAATAAATGCTATCTCATATCTTTTTATCTCTTTCTAAGAAATATTATGTGTGTTGAACATCAGTCTGCAGACAGTTTTATTTCTGATCCAAAGTCTCAAAGAGAAAAACATCAGCAAGATGTTAAATTGCAGATTTAAATCAACTTTCTACTGTTATAGTTGCCTGTTACAGAGATCACAGCCTGGCGCTTTGGAGAAATTACAGTTTTATAAAAGTCGTAGATCAGTCAGATAAACAGAGGAAGAAGCTCTTTACTTCCTGGATTTATTGCAGGTGAAGAAGCATCAACAGAAACCTAGAAGTTCTGCAGCCGCTTCTTACAAACAAATCACAACCAGCAGAACAGAGCTGTGTTCAACAAAGATATAAAATGAGAGAAAAACTATTTTCACATTTTTATTTGCTCCTCAGTTGGAGATTTAACCAGGTGGAAGAAAGGAATCAGAAAGTTGTTGAGATAAAAAGATGAGAATTCACTAGAATCAGTTAGAAATGTTGGAATCAATGCACATTTATTCTCACACCTTCAGTTAAATTTATTCAACTATTTTCTCTTCAAGCTGCTGAATCTGACAGTAATTACTGACTGTTTATCTCCTCAGCAGCTCTGCAGGATGGAGACGCTGGAGGAACTCGTACAGTAATGGAAGGAACCAACATCACAGTTGGATGTTTATTTGGTTTGTCTGGAAGCATGAGGTTCTTCTGTAAGGGAAACTGTGAAGGAGAAAATATTCTGATAGAAACAACAAAAGAAAGAGATCAGAGAGGAAGATACAGCATTTCGTTGGCAAAAACTGCACCTTATTACTCCTCTGTTCTGTATGTCAGCATCACAGACCTAAAACCATCATACTCTGGACAGTACTGGTGTCATTTGGGTGACATTTGGATTCCTGGTTGTCATGATTATTTTAATCTGACTGTGACAGAAGGTGAGTTTCCTCCTGAAAATGTTCCTTCTTGTCTCTGAAAGAAAACTCTGCTCACTGACAGCTTCTTCTGATCCAAATGACCTCAGACAGGAAACTGGCTTTAAAGGTATACTATGCAACCGGTGTTGATTTTCCAGCGAGGCTCCCCCCAGAGGGCGAAAGTAAAAGTGCACTGTCGTAAATATGCTCAGCTGTTCTCCTGGTTTCTCCGTCAAGCCAGACGCGGTTGTTTTGAGCTTAGCAGACAGGCGAATGCAACGAATGACTAACACAGTGAAAGTATGAACATGCACACAGAGAGAGAGAAACCATTCCAATGCTACTTACAATCGCATCAGCAGAAATGCGAGGTCCGCGTCAGCCTTGCAGCCTTCTTTTTATTTTAGCTCTCGCCATTCGGAAAAAGCTTGCCCAATGTTCACCCTTGTACGACTCCTGTCTCTGTCCAGAGCCCTTTTCCTCTTTCTTGCCTGCTCCAACATGGGCTTTCGCTGTTTTCACGCTGGTTCCGCCATGATAACTGCACAAATATCGCCACTGTGCTAGCAACGAGAATGCTTTTAACTGGGGGCGTGTAGCAGTTCTCGCCGTAAAGCAAGACCGACTCTCGCGAGACTTCTGAGCCTGTGGGTGCGGGCCGAGGGCTCCTGCAATTGCAAGTGCGGTATTTCCCCCACAGACCACCAGGGCGGCCGAGAAAACCTTTGTTCAACCTGAAATGACTCATTTAATCATCCAAAACGTTATGGAACACATTAATTAACTGAAAAATGTTGCATAGTGTGCCTTTAAATAGTAGCTCAGATGTTTTGAACTGATCTAAATCCTCCAACATGTTCAAACTGGGACTCATGCAGACAAACATCTTCATTGGTATCATGATGATGAAATATTATTGTCAGCTTTAAACTCATTTGTTCTGATTCTGTTTCATTTCTCACAGCTTCAACCACCTCAGAACCAAAGTGGACTCTGAAAACTTTTACATCATCATCATCATCATTATCAATAGAATGGATGAGTTCCTCCTCTTCTTTCTCACCATCTAAAACCTCCAAAGAGAGCAGAGCATCAACCACACATAAAGGTAAAAGTATAGTTCAAACTTGTTTATATCTTACTTTACCATTGTTTTAAATCAGTAATGTTTATTCAGTCTGAGGAATGAACCGGAGCAACAGAAGAAACAAGTAAATGAACAATAAGAACCAATGTGTATATATGCAGAGGGAAAAATTAGAGAAACACAGGATGCAGAAGTTCATCTCAAATTAAAATGAAGTGAAAGGTACAGGATGAACAGCCCGTGCAAGTCTGAAACCTCTAAAGAGTTGCTTACTATATTCATATATTCAAACACTAATGGTGGTAAGCTGCACTGTAGCCATATCTGCCCTGGGGCAGACCTACAGAAGGCAAGTTTTTATTAAGAACAAGGTTTAAAAAAAAAGTAGATTGCAGTGGCATAATGGCAACACAGGTAATCAAAGACGATAAAGACAAATTATCAAAATAAAATTATTACATGAAAAATGAAAAGAAAGTTGGACGAACTAATGAAACTATTAATTTTTAGACAGCACAGTCTAAGGCTGCTGTGAACAAACATATCTAATCAACATATCTAATCTCTATTGAAGCAAACTGAGGCTTTTAGAACTTTTAGAGTTTCCTGGGAGTTTTTTCTGTTTAGCTTAAAAACAAAAAGCTGCTTTTTCATGTTTTGTTCTGGTTCTGCAGAGCAGATTTGATCCAGAAGAGCTTAGAGGTCTGGCTGTTGATCCACTGATGACAAGTCTGTAATTTATATATGAGCTCAGATTCAGTGATTCATGAACTAACAATGATTTTAAAGTTTATTTTCATGGAGCCAGTGGAAGAACTTTAGAACTGAGCTGATGTTCTCCACTTTCTTAGTTCTGAGGATGCAGGCAGCAGCGTTCTGGGTCAGCTGCAGCTCTGTGATCTACTTTCTATAGTTCTAGTGAGGATGCTGATAGGTAGACCTGTAAAGACACTTTTCCAGGAGCAAACATCTTCATTGGTATCATGATGATGAAATATTATTGTCAGTTTTAAACTAATTTGTTCTGATTCTGTTTCATTTCTCACAGCTTCAACCACCTCAGAACCAAAGTGGACTCTGGAAACGTTTACATCATCATCATCATCATCATCATCACCACCATCATCATCATCAGAAAGGATGAGTTCCTCCTCTCCTTCCTCACCAACTGAAACCACCAAACAGAGCAGAGCATCAGGTAAAGTATCAGTTTAATGTGTTTCTGATTTTTCCTCATTGCTGTAAATCAACAATGGAGAGTCATGAAGAGTCTGATACGCCTCATTTCTCACTTTGTCAGAATAAAACCAAACTGTTCTCTTGTTAAAACCTCTGCAGGTCTGCTGCTCTATGTGCTTCTGTCTCTGGTCGCCAAGATCATCTTATTTTCAACACCTTTGGTGATTTTCTGCAGGAAGAGGAGGCTCACTGAAAGCAAAGGTGAGGAAAAACAAAACACTAAACTGCTTTTTTTTCTGCTCACTTTAAAAACAGCATCGATACCAAAGCTCTTCTTAGCCATGAAGGCTTCTTCCATGTTTTCTGCAGAGTGTTGATCAGCCTTCTCTACATGTCAGAGGTCTGCAGGGTCATGAAAGTAACCGTCAATAAACAAAGAATCTGAAGATTAGTTTGATGATAATCAGTTATTTCTGCAGATTATTTCTGTTTGTTGCTTCAGATCAAAATCTGCTCTGAGCATCAATCAGCAGATCAGCCTGATACTGAAGACGTTTTCTAGGATTTTGTTTCTAGTTCCTGGAAAGTCTCCTAATCTCTGGAAATCAGCAGTTTCAGCTCTGATCTGAATGTTTTTCAGGTCCTGCTGTGGAAACAGAGTTCAGTGAAATCTCTCAGGTGAGTCTGAATCTTTATAAAACACCTGAGTTTCATTAGTGTTTATAAAACTGTCTCAGTGATTCAAATCTTCCTCCTCCTCTTCTTCTTCTTCTTCTTCCTGCAGACCAACCCATAGAGGGAGGAGATCAGAGGAGGACGGACAGAACAATCATCTGCTGAGGAAACATCTTCACTTTAGACCTGAACTAAACTCAGAAACAATCAGAGCTCAAAATCCAGATTAAGAAGATTTAATTTGAAGTTTGACAACAAAATTATTGAAAAACTATTTTTTATTTTAGCTCTCAGTCTCCTAACAGCATCATGTTTCTAAAACAAACTAATTTCTGCTTCATTGTTTATCAATAATATCTTAAGTCTGAGGTTAAAGATCTTGTGTCTTCATGTCTTTGTTAACCTTTATTTTAATCTGTTTTTCAGTTTAAATATTTTATCTCCTTCATGCTTTAATAAAACTTTTCTCATAAATGTCTCTGAAATGGAAGACAACACTGAATTTGAACCAGTTTTGGGGGAGAAGAACCAGTAACCAGATGCAGAAGCAACTCAACAGTGTTTGCGTAGCGCTGAATGAAAGCCACTAACTTCTCAGAAGCTGATGAATCGGAATAACCAACACGAATAACTGGGGATAATGATCTGGCCCCGATAGCTGGCTGAACCGTATAAAGCAGAACAGGTGGATAAGATGAATGATAGAGTGCAGGGAGGAAAGGGCAGGTGAATGAAGTGAGTAATTAGATCAGCTACCGGGTCTGCGATCATGACACCGCTGACTCCAATAAGGTTTTGTGGGGTTTCTTTTGTGTTTTTATTTTTATTTGTATCTGATTGACTCGTGTTGTTTTATTAACTAAATACTGATAGGTTTAAAAATAATAACTCCTTATTGTCCTAGAAATGAAAACCAAACAAAGCAAGCTTTCTTTTCTGCAGAAAAGAGAGAGGGAGAACAGACCGAGGATGAGACCCTTGAAAAGTCTGTATTCAACTCTGCCACAACTTCTCTTTTCTGCTCCTTTTATTGTCTGACTTCAAAGGAATAACAGGAGTGGTTAAAAGTTACCAGGAGGGGTCAGACATTATCAGTCACCTACGGCTGGATCGATGGATAATACCTGAGAGAAATATTTGCTCTCCCCATTTAGAGCAACACTTAACATTCCTGGGCCAGATACCTGTGACTTGAAATGAAATTATAGTGTAACATAACCACTATGTTATTTTTCACTTTCTGTATAAAGAACATTAAAGTGTACCAATGACAAACTGTCTCGTAGAACAGTCATGTGATTGATCATATTATTTCAAAAGTCCACTGGTTAAAAAATGATGATGGGAATTAAAGGAATAGTACACCCAAAACATGATTAGCCTTCATTTTCTACTCACCCCCATGCTGAACAACACTCTGGAGTACTTTTTTGATATCTCAAATGCATCTGGAGATCTGGGAGGCTTCTTGCTGTCTGCTGACATTCAAATAATGGAGGTCTATGGCGCCCGAGGCAGAAAGGTCCACAAAAGTCTACAAAAAACGTGTCAATATTCCTCCATACTGCTCGTCCAATGTATTCCAAGTGTCCTGAGTGGGTAGCGTCCATAATTTACTCGAAACGAAGTCATTTAGAATGTTTTTAGAGCATAAACAGTAGTGTATAGGATTTCCTAAAAGCGCGTTCACGAGTCTACAGAAACCGCGGCAGACCAAACCAGATGAAAGTGCGCATTCAGCTCGGCAAAGAACTCATGCTCTTCCTCAACACTGAAGTCCTCAGACTTTTTTCTTTCGTTGTTTCTTTCTTTGCACAGGTAAACAGCACATTTCTTCTTCTACGCTTGCATTATCGGCAGAGCAGACGCTGAATGCGCACTTTCATCTGGTTTGGTCTGCCGCGGTTTCCGTAGACTCGTGAACACGCTTTCAGGAAATCCTATACACTACTGTTTATGCTCTAAAAACCTTCTAAATGACTTCGTTTAGAGTAAATTCTGGATGCTACCCACTCAGGACACTTGGAATACATTGGACGAGCAGTATGGAGGAATATTGACACGTTTTTTGTGGACTTTTATGGACCTTTCTGCCTCGGGCGCCATAGACCTCCATTATTTGAATGTCAGCAGACAGCAAGAAGCCTCCCAGATCTCCAGATGCATTTGAGATATCAAAAAAGTACTCCAGAGTGTTGTTCAGCATGGGGGTGAGTAGAAAATGAAGGCTAATCATGTTTTGGGTGTACTATTCCTTTAATATGCTGGGTTATTTTGGTGTGGAAAAATTTTTGAATCAAAAAGGGGCGTGTGCATCGGTGGGGAAGACGCGCAATGACAGCTCTGTGCTGCGGGAGATTTTGTGTGGTTGGTTGTCCGTTAAAAAAAGTCAAAAAATAAAGGAAGAAAGATGAACCACAGACAGAGTTTGTCCCAGCGCCGCAGATCACCGCAGAGATTTGTAGAAAACTGATTGACGGAGTTTGCAAACAGAGGACGCCGCCCGTTGCAAGGAGACGCCGCCCAGGGGGGAAAAAAAAAGACGCTCCGGTGAGATCTGGACCTTATTTTTCTTTTGGGGGATTCTTGGTGGTACCACTCTTTTTCTAATCTTTTTTTTTGGGTGGGGGTTACCGTTTGGATTTTTCGTTTGGACTTTGGACTGAAACGGTTCCAGGATTTTACTTTGGGTTCGAAGTGTATGGAACTCCTGTTTGGACATTATTATAAGAAATAAAAAGAGACGGACAGTTTTGGACTTTCAGTTATTAGGGATGTTTTTGTTTGGTTTTTTTTGCGGATATAAATTGAGACTTTGAGTTTACTTATAAATTGGTTGTGAAGGTTTTTTGGGTTATTTATCATTTATACTGAAATATTATTGAATTAACTTTGGATTCTTGGTAAAAGTGCGATTTTTTTATTATTATTATTTTAAATCAATAGTTGTTTTTTCTGAAAAATTTTAATACTTTGCCTGATTTCCTGTGAAAGTTGTGAGTTCCGCTTTTAATCTAGCTGAATTTCACAATAGCACGTAAATTTTTCTAATACCGTAAATACCTTCTGGATTAACATACAGCCTATTCACTGCAAAAAAAAGGTAATGTGTTATTTATATTTATATACAATGTGGAATTACATGTAAAAGCAAATCTATGTGTGTGGATTTGGAACTTTTTATGTTAAAAACACGTGAAAAATATGTATTTTATATGGGATTCACATGAGAAAAAATGTGCTTCATATAATCGACAAGGACACAAACCCTTTGAAAGCCGGGGTATGAAACCACGGTCCTGTGGGGCAAATTCCTGCATCCGCCATCTCTGTTAACCTACTTTCACAGATTTGACTGTGGTGGACATCAACTGAGTTATAAAAATATGTTCACTGCCAGACAACTTGGAATGTGGTTAATGTCGACAGAACTGCCATTTGCTTTATTGCTTTAATGATGGATAAATAAATAAAACTTAATAAATAGTACAGACCAGCGTCATGTTTTTAAACTGCTTCCATTTTTATTTATTTTTATGTATACTCAAAGAGAAAAAAAACTGAAATGTTAGAACTGTAAATATATAGTCATATGTTTTTATTACTGTTTTTATGTATTTTTTGTCCAGAGAGCTGTTATTAACGAAATTTCTTTTTGTTTACACTTGTGTATACAAAATGATAAAATAAATCTAAGAACATTAAAACATTTACACAAAAATGATCAAAATAACCTTAAAAATGTACATCTGTACAAGTTCTTTTACATTTCGACAAATGTAAAAAGGTTGGTATACAGAGCAAATACTGATTATATTCATATGGAAAAAGATCTGAGGTGCACGTGTGAGGAATGTATAAGTATGGACGCAAATCGTTACCATATTTAAAATAAAAAAGCATTTTCAGAAATGCTTTTTTATTTGAAGAATGTGGCTGCATTGAAATTATCAATAATCCTGTTTGCATTTTCATTTTCTTCTTTAACACCGCTCATCCTTTTACTTAATTAAAATGAAAAAGATATTTGAGATTTATTTTTCAAAATGTACCCCAGCAAATAAATACCAAAATTCAATTTGAAATGTAAAATTTGAAAATGAAAAAGCATGAAAAGGCACAGGTCCAGCAGACGAGCTCCTTCAGCAGAAGACTCCTCCTACCCAGATGCACCACAGAGCGCCACAGGAAATCATTCCTACCTGTGGTCATCAGTCACTATAACGCCTCCCTCAAGCGATTCAGCCCCCCCTAACCCCCCCCCCCCCCCCCCCCCCCCCCCCCGTAATTGACATTTATGCACTATTTTTGCACGCCACGTATCAGTTTACTTGGATTTTATCACTTTACTTGGATTTTCACTTCATTTGGATTTAGTTTTTACATATGCATTGATATACGTACAGATATATATACAGAAGAGCTATATGTGTATATATTTTATCTTTTTTATTCTTATTTTTTATCTTTATTATATTGTATAGCTGGATGTGTGTATATATCATATAAAACTGTAACGGGAGCGTGTAACAAAAGTAATTTCCCTCTGGGATTATTAAAGTATTTCTGATTCTGATTCTGATTCTGATTAAGCCTTTCAAAAATAAAGACTTAAAAACATTAGCCTGACTAAAATGAAACTATATGATGTTGTATTTAGAGGTGGAGTTACTGAAATAAAATTGTATGAAATATTTTTTCTCTTTGGAATGAGCCTGTGGATATAGCCGGTGTTTTCCTTTGCTGTAGTATCATGAAGTCTCCACAAGGTGGCAGCATCATGAGATCTGTACACGGATCATTATGTTTCATGAGTTTCTGACTAGGGAGAATGTGTGTGTGTATATATATATATATATATATATATATATATATATATATATATATATATATAATATAATATAATTTTCTACAGCTACAGTTCCCTGAAACTCTACCATCAGACCCGAGCTGAGCATCTTATCCTGCCACAGCTCTGTTCTCATCCTCTCCCGTTGCTAGGCAACCACAGGGGGAGGTCATCAAATCATTTAGTGCATTGAAAAACATGGAGTACTTTAAAAACATGCATCATGTCCCTAAAACATAAAAACAATTCTATGTATTCAGTATTAAAAAAGAAAATATGCATTTTCTAGTATTTTAACTGACTGATAACTGACTGATAAATGACTGATCACTGACTGATTCCTGACTGATCACTGACTGATAACTGACTGATAACTGTCTGGTTACTGACTGATCACTGACTGATCACTGACTGATTCCTGACTAATCACTGACTGATAACTGACTGATAAC